CAGTTGTTACAGAAACATTCCCCTCTCCAAACGTCTGGGAAGTGACTTACTAAAATTACAACAGGGTCTATGAACAAAGAAAGTTCAAACACTTGTGTCCCAAGGGTTGCTTATGGTTTTCTTTGTGTAGTTCTCCTCATGGAAAGCTGCCTCTAAGGTGTAGATCTCTTCTAGACTCCAAGGAGAAGTGCCTTTGTAGGGTCCACAGCTGCCTTTTTCTGTCTCCCCAAGAGACCACGCTCTCTAAAGCTGCCTTTCCTCTGCGCATCTAGTTCTTCTTCTCTTAGCTCCTGGCTAGATGCATTGTTTACTAGCAACATGATCAATTTGGGGGGAAGGGCTAGACCAGGACCCCCTGCTGGGCTCCCTCTTTCTTCTGATGCTCTGGTTTACAGGTGCAAGCATCCTTCTCAAATCTCTTCTGGGATAGCTAGACGCAGAGGGGTGCTGTAAAATGTTTAACAACTAGTACTTGCACGACACAATTTTAAGTTGAATCTACATTATTAACATTTTTCCATCACTTTCTTAAGTCTAGGCCATCAATAAAATCATAAATCAAGCCCTGGTTTGTAGCAGGTGTACGTGCTCACACTGAAAACTGAACAATCAGCTCTTCTGGCTTGTAACCTTGCTTGTGAGATGATCCCTTTGCACCTAGCCAAGACCTGCATGGCCTGAGCAAAAAAAAAAAAAACTCCTTATTTCATGTAGAATGGGGCCCTTTCAGGCAGAAATTGTAGAATGAAAACCATCTTCCCAAAGATTGACACATACTTCCTTTAACTGGAACTGATTTGGTGGGAGGATGCATCCCCCAAACAGGGATTCACCACTGAGTTCATCAAACACAGTAGAACTGGCTTTAAGCGTTCAAGTGTTTCTGGAAATCTGAAAGGAGGTGCAATTAACTATTGGGCTGAAAACGGAGGGTGAATACAGCTGTATGTTCCTCCTAGGATAACAGCCAATTCCCAGACCTTGGTCAGAAAACATACTAATTCGGGTCTTCTTGTCCTAGCCACCCTCCGAAAGCACTGGATAGTGACGAGCACCTAAGAGACGTGTAAGGGCTGTTGGCTAATCTCATCGTGCTGTGTGTCCTTCACCAAGACGCTTCACTTCTCTGGGTCTCAGGGGCTGGACTGGATGATCTCAGAGGCTCTCTGTAGCTCTAGAGACTACGAGTCAAAGAATCAATTACTGATTCACCAGGCAACTACTTCCACCACTACCTGCAATTTTTTAAAAAGCATTGTCTCATTTTTCAGGATAATTCAGACCACACTACACGGGAACATATTTACTGCTTTGTGCTCACTGTCTACAAGATCAAAAACACCACCAACTCAGCCCGATTCTCTGAACTAAAGTTATTTTCATTTTGTCACGAGGATAAACTTGAATACGTCACATACAACGTAGTCTCCTTCCCTAGAGCTCTAGATTTACAGTACAGTTATTTGTGTATTGAATAGGTGCTAAACGTCGGCTCCTGTTTCCTTTTTTGTCTGTAAGAGGAGTCAGAGTAGAAAATGTCTTAATATCAAGTGACCGGCAGATGGCACTCACAATTTGCAAATAAACATTTCAAATTTTTAAACAGCGGTTCTATCCTTTATGTGTTTCTACTCACTTTAGAATAGTACTAGCATCATGCCATTCTTATACCAAAATAAAATTCAGGAAATATGGAACACGCAGAATGGCCTTATTGCACTTTCTACCAGTTTTCCACCAAGATCACTTGCCGATGCTGCATGGCTGGTGAATGGGTGAAACCCCCTCTCTGCTACTTCTGGGCTGAGAGCAGCAGGTGACTTGGGACACTGCTTCTCCCTGTCTGGCTTCTGGAATATCCCAGCACAGACTCCATATCCTGGTGTTCTGGTGACTTGCTTCCTGACCTTTCAAAAGTCCTCACAAGGTCACAGTTCCCCTAAGGAATCTCTTTCACCTAAAAGCAGTAAGTCATGTGCTCACAGAGGCAGTGCTCTAAAACTACACAAAGACTTTGAGGACAAGCCTATCTATATGTACACACATGTCAATACATGCATATGAAAGAAAGTTTTGGCTATTATGTTCTATTATAGACAAGGCTCTGTCCTAGTCCCTCCTGTCATTTCTCTTTATATTTTCTCTTGGTAAGCTGATCAGCTCCCATGGGCACAATGATTACCTTGGACACGTGCATACCCACCCCTAGTCTCTCTTTTCAGCTTTAATCCTGTATCACTAACTGCCTCATGGATATATCACTAGAGATTTCATAAGACTCCTGTTCAAAAAGTCCAAAATTGAACACATCATCTTTCTCAAGCAAACTGCTTTCATGAACTTTCCTGTTTCTGCCAAGGGCGTGACCAGCCTTCTAGTCATTCAGAGTCATGATGTCCCAGTAAAAGTAATAACTAGCATGTATATAGTGCTTTAAGGTTGCAAAACGCTTTATAAATATTATCTCATTTTATCTTCACAACAACTCTGGGAGGTAGGTGCTATCATAATCCTCATTTTACAGAGAAGGGAACAGACCCAACGATTAAGTGTCTCTCCCAGGTCACAGCAAGTGCTCAGGGTCAAATCTGAACTCGAGTTTTCCTGACTCCAGGGTCATCATTCCAGCCACTGCTACCATTTCACTGCAGTCGTCATCAGTGCTTGATTCTCCCTCATCCCACATATCTAATGATTGCCAAGTCTTCTGGATTCTATTTCCACAACATCTCTTCCATCTGTCCCACTCTCTCCACCTTATGTTGTTACTGTTCAAGTCATTTCAGTCATGTCCAACCTTTGGTGACCCCATTTGGTGTTTTCTTGGCAAATATTCTGGAGTGGTTTGCTGTTTCCTTCTCCAGCTCATTTTATGAATGAGAAAACTGAGGCAAACAATGTTAAGTGACTTGCCTAGGGTCATACAGCTAGTAAGTGTCTAAGGCCAGATTTGAACTCCCATCTTCCTGACACCAGGCCCAGCACTCAATCCACTACACCACCTAGCTGCCCTTCTCTCCATTTATAGCCACCACTTAATGGAGGAACTCATCAACTTTCGCCTAAATCACTGACATAGCCTCTTAATTGGTCTCCATGCCTGAAGTCTTTGTCTTCCAAATCCATCACCCATACAGATGACAGTGAAAATGCATGTTCTCTAACCTCGACTGGGCCTCCACCACAGCAAGGCAGGCCTTTTATTCCTACTTGTTGCCCAATCTCACCACCCACAGAAGCTATTTCAAGCCTTTTCTCTCAAAGCACCCCCCATACCTCTTTATCCCCCCCCCAGTCTCATTAAGAGATTTTTATTTTACAAAATCATAGAATAATAAAAGACCTTGTTTACCTTTACCAAAAACTGAGACCATTCGGTTTGAAATGGTCTCAGAAGCTCTGGCTTCTGTCACTCTCAGTCTCCAAAGACCTTGCAATCACATCTCACTCTCTCCCAGCTCCTTCAGTCTCTGACAGAGCTGATTTTTCTCCTTGCCAAGGCTACCTCCTCTCCAGGTACACCAGCTCCTAATCCCCCCCCCCGGCTTCTCTAGCTGACTGCACCTGCAATCATTCACTCCCACCCCTTTAAAACCAATCAACTCGTCCGCTGCGCCCAACAACGTGTACAATATTCCCATGCTCCTGGTCCCATATCTCTCAGAAATGCTGTATCTGGGAAGGCTTCATAGAATAGTAAAGGCTGTTTACTTGATCTCTGAAGAATGGGAAAGATGTTAATAGGCAGATCAGAGTAGGAAAGTAACGTCTCTCTTTAGCCGATGGATAGAAGCTGCTATGAAGCTACTGTCTGCCTCACACCTACACAGAATCTCAAACCTCTCCCTACCGACTGGCTCCTTTTCTATGGCCTTCACACATGCCAAAGTCTTCCCATCCTTCAAAGTCCTCTGCTCAGCCCCACCCTACCCTCAATCCTGCCTCACAGCTCTGCGCCATCAGTCAAGGGGAGAGGAAGAAGCGGGGACAACGTTGAAACTGGAGATTACCTTTTTATTCAACATACAGAACATAAAATAAAGGATGCAAAGTCCATGTACATCCATGACACCTTGTGCCGTTAGTCTTGCAAATACACCCTTTCCTTCTTTCCTCATTTTTATGATGTCTCAAAAACGCTTCTTTACCTCTTAAGTGCCTTTTCTGACTTAGCTGAATAACTATCAATGATACTTCCTTTCTTCCTCTGCTCTGACATGGCACCAAAGCCAGAAGTATTATTTTTAAACATTAAAACGTAGAGTTGCTTTTCTGGTACTCTTTTAATATGGTGTTCAAATTCCAGATAGAAGCATTTGTACTCAGGGGAACCAATGAAATATTTGTTATTCTTCCTACATATTATAAGTGAATTCATCTATGAAATTATATCTTATTACCATCAAAAAATGTTTTGGGCCAGGAATATTAAGTACTTATTAAATCAGAAAGACAAATAAGAATTAGAAGTAGGGATATATGTCGGAATATTACAGATAGTGCAGATCTATTTAACAAGCAGCTGAGGGGATAATGTCATGACTTAAAAGCCTAAAAGCTGCTTAAAATAGAGAATTTTTTGTTTTTGTTTTTGTGGAGAAGGGCAAGGGAAAGATTTATAAAAGTCGTGCTTCCACTGGAAACCAAACACAAATGTGCAGTATGATAAAAGAGAGAGGGGGAAAATATGATGTACAACAAGATATAGTCTTAGCAAAATGACCACCTTTTTGCTATGTCCAAGATCCAGAAATTTAAACGAAAAAAGAAAAGACCACTTGGTAAATTTTGTTGACTCTTCTTTTTTCATTTTCTGATAATTTGTATTCCCCACTCCTAATTTAGTTTTGTTTCAAATCTACTTGGGTATTAATGGGAAAAATATTTAATAATTTAATATTTAATAAAAACATGTATAGTTTTTCATTATAAAGTATAAACTCTTCAACTTAACATCTATAACCATTTATAGATGTTTGAAGAGATTCACTCTAGTGTGAATAAAGGTGTTTTTTACAAACTAATTAAAGATGATGAAAAGTTGTTCAAATCTATTTAAGATTCTTCTTGGTTACTTTAAAAAGGAAAATCAAACTTCACAGAAATGTGGTTATAAAAATTAAGTTCCTCACAGAGGTAACCCATGTATGATCAGTATCAGTAGGCAATCAACACAGAAATGCCAAATAACATTGTGCAGTATTGTCGTGCTGGTCCCCTAGGGTCTGCAATGAAGCAAAAAATCTCAAATTTTATTGAAGAAACTCCAAAGCCATTTATTTGGTCAAAAAAGAACTTACATTCTAGATTTATATTGTCTTTGTTCTTCTTGGAGAGAGCTATCCTCAAAAATTTAAGAACAGTTGTTAAAGTAGCATATGAACATATAACCACTTGCATAACAAGTTTTTGTCACAAATTAGTTTTTACATAACAAAGGCTGATTCTGCAATGTGAAAAATGAATATTTTACCTTTAATTAGAATGAATTAAATGATTGAAAAAATGTTTTCTTTCTTAAAAGCACTTCCAGTAACATCTTGTGATTTTCTTTTAAACAATACCACTGCCAGGGAACAGACCAAGGACCATTTCTGACACTCTGTCTATTGTGCATCTGATGAGGCCACAGCCTCCCTAGTTCACTCTGAAGACTCTGTACATGCTGTTTTGGAACACAGAGGTGAAGTAAGGCCTGCCATCCTTGACGAGGATGCTACACAAGGAAGGCTTGCCAGCGTTAGTAGGGTCTTCCACGTCCCAGATTTCAAGCATACTGCAACCAGGCCTAGGAGAATAGTTGTTACATATGTGAAAAACACACATCAAAGTCTTACAAAATACAAATGATCAATTATCTCTAAGTGGTGCATTTCAGTAAAACAAAAATGTTTGTTTAAAAAACCTGCTTTTTTCATATCTTAATATTTAACATTAATATTTAATAGGAGTAAGGTCAAATTTAAGTATATTTACTGACATGTATCATTTAGTCAAATAATGGGAACTGTCCTGATGATCATAGTAAAGGTTGAATAAAAATGATAGAAAAGGAAAAAAAATCACTTTCTTCATGAAGTACCGATTTGATTCTATACGTTGTCACCCTCTAAACCTGAGGCACTAAACCTGGCCACTCTCAGTAGCTCGAGGGATAGAAAAGTAAGAATGAGGTTTCAACTGGCTTTACATTCGAAGCAACCATTTGGCAAAAAATCACACCTACGAGTACAAACTGATGGGGCTTGCACCCCAGAACGTCCCCCACTGCCAAGAAAGTAATCCGGGGAGAGGCAGGATCGTTTTCTTTCTTTCTTTTCTTTTCTTTTTTTGGTGAGGCAATAGGGGTTAAGTGACTTGCCCGGGGTCACACAGCAAGTGTCATGTGTCTGAGGCCGTATTTGAACTCGGGTCCTCCTGACTCCAAGGCTGGAGTTCTTTCCACTATGCCACCTAGCTGTCCCCAGGCTCGTTTTCTTAAAGGCAGAAACAGTCCTTTGCTCTCACTAGGCCATGTACTCCGTTGGCTCCTCAGCTCTTGGCCCAGACAGGCTACACTCTTCTCCCTTCTCCAGCCTGACTCCTCTGGACAATCAGCTCAACTCTCCACTCCCCTCTTCTCTCAAGTTTCCCTGACCCTTCGTGCTATCAAGGATCTTGCCCAGCCCAAGCCTCAGCCCTTGATTACTCCCAACAACCACTGCTTTCATGCCTGCTTACCTGCTGCTGAATGAAGATGGAAAAAATCAGAAAACCAAGCTGACTGGATCCTTGACAAGTTCAGGTTACACCATCTCAGGTGCACCCTCACTGCAGCAGGACACCTCCCTGACTGACTCACAGTCCCACTCACCACTGCAGCTTTTCTAAACCTTTTTTAGCCCTTCTCAAACCTCCCACGGTTTCCCTGCTACAGGAGTGGGGAACCCACAGCCTCCAGGCCACAGGTGGCCCTCTAGTCCTCAAATGCGGCCCTTTGACTAAATTCCTTTATCAAGAGGATCTGGTCTGTCAAATTTGGATTCCATCAAAGGGTCACACCTGAGGGCCTAGAGAGCCACATAAGGCCTCAAAGCTGCAGGTTACCCACCATTGCCCTGGTCCCATTCTCTCAGCTGAGAGGGCATTTCATGGAAATATCTATATTGAAAACTTCCATATTTCATGGAAAAAACTGAAGCCATTTACTGAGAGCTCCTTCTTCATCTCCCATCATGAAGATGCCTTCTACCACCCTGTCTCAGGAGAAGAGCTGGCCCTTCTCCTCTCCAAGGCCCATTCCATCTTATCCTCTCTAACAGATTTCCCCCTCTAACATCCCCACTCGGTCTTTTCTTCTGGATGCTTCCCTACCTCCTACAAACATGCCCATGTTTTCCCCCATCCTCAACAATCCCTCACTTGGCTCCATGCATTTCTGCTAGTTCTCATCCTGTATCTCGCCTCTCTTTTGTGGAAAACTCCTTGAGAAGGCCATCTGCAATCAAACTGGATATCCCAAAGAAATCCTGAGACTCAAGATGTCTCCAACTGAACTCATTCTCTTTCTTCCTAAACCCTCCCTCCTTCCAAACGTCTCTATTACTGTGGAGGACACAACCATCCTCCCAGTCCCCCAAGCTCACAGCCCAGATCTGATCCTCACTGCAGGTCTGACCATGACAGCCCCTTATTCAATTAATTTCAGTAGCTCCCTATAATCTCCAGGATCAAGTATAAAATCAATCCTCTAGATGTTAAAGCGCCCCCTCCCCCTACAATTATTGTTCTCACTTCACGGTCGAACCAGACTAGCCCAGTGCTCCATCAACTATGCCCCCTAGCTAAGTCTAAGAAATGATAAAGTAAGCCAAATCGTCTTAGTTCCTGGCAGTCCATAAGACCGCAGACTACCCAACGTTGGTCCAATACCCTCAAATCTTTTCTTGGCCAGTTTTCTAGCACTAAGCTTACAGTTAACCAGAACTCTAAAGCAAATCAACTTTATTCCCTATCCTAACACTGATGTTTAATCAACGGTACAAGGGGTTAGGAATAACAGTAACAGCTAGATTTTATATACTACTTATATACTAACAGTTACAAGTTAACGGTTTTCAAAGAGCTTTACAAATATTGTCTTATTTTATCCTCACAACAATCCTGAGAAGTGGGTACTATTATGATCCCCATTTTACAGATGAGAACACTAAAGCAGGGGTTAAACGACCTGCTCAGGGTCACAAAGCTACTAAGTGTGTGAGGCGGGATTTGAACTCAAGCCTTCCTGACTCTAGGCCTAGTACTCTATCCAGTACACCACTTAAGTGCTTAGGGAGTCCTAGGGCTCTGAGTAGATGATGAGTTCTAATAAAAATCTTCAACAAGTGGAAATACAAGAGAAAGCTGCTACCTTTGCCCATTCTTCAATCCACATCCTCTAGCCCTTATCCTCTTATTTTACCCCTGATGTTCATTCCTGGAAGGCTGATAGTTATGGCTTTATGAAGTTACAGGTCTGTGAGAGTTAGAACTCTGCAAACACAGACAGTTTATCTTTATGTTTTATATTTATTTGAATACAAATTAGTTAAAACATAGCTCTAGTTTGCTATTTTTCCTGTGTACAAATGAAGCACATTCTGCATATAATATTCTGGATCTTTATTTTAAAAAATCAAATATCCACAAAGGGAAATACAACTTCTCGGCTTAAGGATTTTGGTAGATGATTTTCATCAAATCCTAGGATAAACATGCAGGGACCTTCAGAGCTAAGGATATTAAATTCCATTTTTGAGCACGTGGTCTAGGACTACCCCCTTTCTCTAGAATCTACAGACACCACATAACTAGCAAACAGCCTGCAACTCTTTGTTTTAATTAGGGACATCTTCTTACTATAAACTGCTTAGAGCTGGGCCAGCAGCACGAACTCTCCTTTCACCCTCAAGGGAACCCTTGCTATGAACCATAATTTTAAATGTAAAATGGAAAGGAAAAATTAGGCAACTAAAATATAGATAATACATCTGGAAATTGTATCTACTTATGTGATATCTACTATCATGTAAATGGATTGTGTTCACCTAGAAATACTTCGGAGTAATATAATCACAATCAATTTAATACAGAATAATAGCTTTCAAAAAACTGATTATGTAACTGTCAACATGAAAATTAAATTCACCATTCACAACAGAGGCAGCATGAATACTTACTTAGTCCTTACAACGCACCACGCCTCTTCTAAAATGTAGTAATTCACATGCAGCTGCAATAGTTTGTCTCTTACTTCCTTAGCCGTTTTTCGACTATAGACAGAGTAAACTATCTTAGTTCTGGTCCTACTGAACACAAACAGGTCAAAAGATTTTAGACGAATTTTATAACAAAATGAAGAAGTTGCAAGTAAATGTTCAATGACTCAAAGAGTTGGTCTTTTAGTGTCAACAGCAGGAGGTCACCAGCAGAAGGTGCTGTGGAACCGTGCTCTGTTGGCCTCATGCCACTCCAACTAAACCCCAATGACTGACTTCAAGGCCAAGAAGGGCTGCCCAGCAAGAACTAGCTCTTCAGCTCTCGCTGGCTCCAGTGGAAACATCCATGCTAGCCACACTCACTTCTCCCCTGACTCAGCTCACCACCATGGACTCTGCCCAACACACTGTCTGCTCCCATTCCAACCTTTGTATGTGCTGCCTTGCCCCATCAGAAGAGAAGCTCCTTGAAAGCAGAGACCAGCTTTATCTTTGCTTGGATTGGCATTCCCAGTGCTTAGCAAGGGAGCCTGGAACGGAGCAAGTACTTAATAAATGTTCTAGCTACTCTAATCTCTCATCTAATTACTTATATGAGAGGGGAAGAGTGTAACATTGCAATAGAGTAAATATGTATAGTATCCAAAAGAGTAAAGAGTAACATCTGAACCTGGGGTACATTCTACAATCAATTATTACCTAGAAAACTACTTTTTACCTTACCAAAATTACTAAACATTACACCTATACCTCTTCATTTTCTAAAAAAAATTTGAGGGAGAATATAAATGTAAAGCCCATGGAAAATGAAACAATTAAAAATAAAAACAAAAGTTAATTTATAGATCTGAGAAATAAATTTACTGAGCAACAGATATGAATAGACTACTGTAGCTAAGCATAGAATTTAGCTTTAAGCCTTCTGGCAGCTAAATAAAAAGGGAAATATATTGGGTTAGAAAGCTCATATTATCTGATAAAAATAACGTTAAGTTAATCTGGAGAAACACTTATTTGGCAGTGAATTCTAGGAGGACTTAAATATGTGGGTCCTGACATAAAGGACATTAATTAACATGATGGTAAATTTTTGATTTGTGAAAGACACAAAACACTCTTCAAATCAACATTTTTGTTGTTGTTGTTTTGTTTTTGTAAGTCAATCAGGGTTAAGTGACTTGCTCAGGGTCACACGCCAGTAAGTGTCAAGCGTCTGAGGCCAAATTTGTACTCGGGTCCTCCCAACTCAAGGCCAGAGCTGTAGCCACTGTGCCACCTGGCTGCCTCAGCATTTTTTTTTTTCAAATTGAACCACTATACAACTGAAAGGAGAACATTAAAGATTATTTCAGTGACAGCATTTCTTTAGGAAGCTAAAGAGAATATTGTCTAGTTATTGACCTACCACCTACTAGGTACTCATTAAAGACACCATGAAATCCTAATAAGCGATGATCTAGATGAGTTATTTGATTCGGTCCCAGGTGGAAAAGTAAGCAGTGGGCAGGACTGGAGAAGCCAACTCATGAAGGTGACAGCAGGAATCCTCTGAAGACAGTGCCAATCGCTTTTCTCCTCAAAGTGCCACTCTCCAGATGGCTGATGACGGACTGTATTGATTAGCATTCACACACCCACAGAGAGAATTAATCCTTCTAACTTTGGAACTCCAGCCTGGGATCAAACTACCTGACTGCCTGAGCAAAAAACTTCATTCATCTTCTCTAGCCAGCCTAAGGACAAATGCTTTATTCATTTCACTACCCAGCACAAAATAAGGTCCGTGGCAGAATATGCTATTTCTTTCTGGAATCTAAGTAAGCCCTTGACATAGAATACAGCCACCAAAGTCAGTTAATTTTTCTAGTTCTCAGGCACAGCCATTCACAATGAATCAGCCTAAGTGGACATAACTATTGACCTTTGCAATGAACCCCACCAACAGTCCCTGGACTCTCGGGCACTTTCCAAGCCTGCGTACCAGGCCAGAATTCTCCCTATTACCAAGATTTTCAAAATACATTAATACAGCTGAAACAGAAGTTGTCCTGTGTAAGCTATTTGTATTATCAAAACTGGATCTACTTATTTGCCAGGACAGAGGCTGTAGCCCTTTGGGATTTCTTAAAAAATAACTCCACTAAGTGGTTCATCAAACCCTTTCCCTCCCCTACTAGATGCCCCAATGCTATTTGTTCAAAAGAAAAATGGGAAATTATGAGCCTGTTGTGATTAGATTGCTACTACTGGCATTATCATCATGAAAGAATAGTTCCTACCCCTGGATCCGTAACTTGACAGACCAGTTGGCAGGGGCAGACTCATCAAGATGGACCTCTTTTCATACACTTTTTTCCAGATATAGAGGGATAACTGAAGGAGAAGACTTTCCAGCCCTGGCAGAGCCTGTATGAATACTATGTCACTAAGCCTTTCAATGACTCAGGAACTTGACATCAGAAGCCTGTAGAGGTGCCTTGTCTCACAACACTGTTACCTACTCCTGAGATCCCGCCCACTATTCCTTTTTTTTCCTTTCAGTCATTCTCCAGAACCTACACTAGCACCATCTACTTGCCAAATCTCAGAAATGCCAGTCTGAAAAGAATGTGAAGTTTCTGGGCCAAATGGTTGTACGGATCCACTCAAGGTCAAAAAACATGCAACCTTTCCTTAGCTTGGCAGCTCATTAAAACTACATTAACTCATGACCTTCAATCAACTACAGCAACTCAAGACTTTCTTCTAGTGGACAACAGAGGTGGAAGGGAGTTAATGACCTGACAAATCACTTCACCTCAGCCCTATTTTGAAGAAGTAGATCTTCCAAAGAGTTCATCATGAGATAGGTGAATCAAATATTGCTGCTGAGGGAGGAGCATCCTCTCACAGGCCACACTTACCCTCCCTACTACATACCTTGGGACCTATGTGCACAAAATCTGAGGTATAATATTTGTAATCAACACTACAGACATCTCCAGGAAGCATATTGCCCTATCATGCATGCAGACCACAAAGTACCTTCAAAATACCTGGAAGCTCAATCAATCAAAGTGCTATAATAAGTCAGATCTGGTTGACCTTTAATACTCACAAGATTTTGATTCACTGTCACCTATTTTCCCCAGACATTTCAATATGCAGGCAAGTGCAACGTTTGTAAAAATCCAAATTTAGACACTCCCTAAGTCAGCAATCTACACAGGCCTTCCTAGAGGCTGTAGCCACTTTACGGTCTCCCGAGTCTCTACACCTCCATCAGAAGCAGGTGTGGGATGTTTATGCCCACCTCCAATTGTTTATTCTTCAACCTCACGTGATGCCCACCTCCCATGAACTCATACATGTATAAGGGTGATGGTGCAGGCTTCTTGCCAAGGCTGGGAGAAGATGCACTATCTTTGCCAGGATTCCTAATGCCAGGACAACACACAATTTGTTATCAACCCTTGTAAAAAGCTCCTCATTGAAATGAAGCTTTCCTGTAACCCAGGATTTAAATCCTTCCTGATACAGCCCGTCCTTCTTATCAACGATAACTAAGCTTTCGAATAATGCTCAATACCTCAATCCTCCATCCTCATACTGTGGGTGATTGACAATAGGGCGAAGTGCAGACAGCTTGACACTTGCCATTGTAGGCATGGCACCTGCAAAAACTGCATCTGAAAAACAAGATTAGATATTTAAAAGAAGAACTCCTTAAAGAAAATCAAAAGTTAACTCATAAAAATTCTAAATTCCCAAATAAAAAAAGTAGTATTTTAAAGTATATGTTAAAGTTAAAATGAAAGTTAACTACAACTGCCATAAAATCAAAGGATCGGACAGCCTCTTTGAGTCATCATCTTGATGCTTTCAAAAGGGTTTATCCTTAACTTTCTCAGGTAGACAGAAATCTAACGTATTTCAAAACTCATACAAAATGATCCTAGAAATGTCCTCATATTTAAGTGTCCCAATGCTTAAGAAACTCCAGGAACACAGATTCCATCTACCAGGGTGTAGACCGCACACAGAAGCCCTGAGACACACCATGGGAGAGCATGATACTGATCCCTGGAGTCAACTAGAAATGTTAGGCAGAAACCAGTTTGTCTTTCTATCTATGTAAGTAGATGGGGTGTAACTGTGGCTCAAGATTGGGGTGGGGGGGAATAGTATAATTATCATATTAAAAACAAATGCACCTCAAATCACATGATTTTATGAATACACACAGAAATGAAGCTTAGACAAACTACAACATGCACTTACAGTAGAAATCCTTGGAAACATAGGTGTGGTGGGAATAACATGTTCTACAAAGGCTGAGGCTGTCTCCATTTAAAGAACTAGAGGATCATGGATTTAGAGGTAAAACAGAACTTAGAAGCAATGCAAATCCAACTTTTAATTTTACAGATAAGGAAACTGAGACTGAGAGGTTCAGTGACCTGCCTAGGCTCACACAGCTAGTAAGCGTCTGAAGCAGGATTTATAACCATGTCTTCCTGGCTGTGGGTTACAAATACTGTCCTTGTGAATTTACTTAGTCTGGAGGACTGAGGCTCAAATCACTGTCCTAGATTCCTTGGTGCCCAGAACAGAAAGAAATCAGTCAATGGGGAGCTGATGTCCGAGAGATTCGGCAGGATTTTAAAAATTCCCGTGGGACATCTTTCTGATTCAATATGGCTGTAGTAGTGCATTAGGAGGTGGAAGGGAACTGTCTCTATTTTAAACAATTATTTAAAATGTCCTCCGAAAATCCTTTTTATTAGATTTTATAGTCCATGGCTGTTTCTAGTAAGTTCCAATCCTAAACTTGAATCCCTGGACTGGCCTGAATTAGGCTACTCCAGAATACCCGGAGTACTTGGCGGCAGGACTCAATTGCAATGACTTGCATGAAGTCTCCAGTGGTATGTCCCAAGGACATGTACATGGCCTTGTGCCATGTAACATGCTTATCAAACATATGCATAAAAGCATGAATGGCACACTAACCAAATTGACACAGGATGTAAAGCTGGAACAGGAAGCTAATATACTGGATGACAGAGTCGAGATTTAAAAAGATCATGATGAGCGTGATCACTGGGCCAAACTGAAAGAGTAAAACTTTAATGAAACTACACCTTGCCAAGTGTGAGACAGGGAAGGCACGATTAAACAGCAGTTTCTCTGAAAAGCATCTGGAACCTTTAGTCCCTTACAAGCTCTTGCCTGCAAGAAAACAAATGTGATCATAACCTGCCTAAAGGTTCATAGCTCTCATTTAGGAAGAAGTGGGGCGCCTGCTGTACTTTTCTCTGGCCAGCAGCACTATGTCCAGGTTGGGGATCTAGATTTTAGGAAGGACATTAATAAATTGGAGCCCATCTAAAGGAATGCAACCAGGATGGTGATGGGCTATAAGTTCATGCCTAGTTAGAGCTGACTGAAGGAATGTGGGATATTGTGGCTTCATTTTTTGGACAGGATTACTGAACTAATAGATGAGAGAATGATGTGGATATAGTCAAATATCTGGGCAATTAGATGGCGTAACAATTCTTTTTTTCAGGTATGGTTTCAATGAGACCAACCCTGAGGCATCTTTCAACTCTGAAATCCTGTGACTTGATGGTAGGGGGTGTGAAAAGTCACAGATGCCTACATATGTGAAAGGCAATCTTTGGCGCAGCTAGGCGGCTCAATGGATGGAGCACCGGCCCTGAAGTCAGGAGGACCCAAGTTCAAATCTGGCCTCAGACCAAACACTTAACACTTACTAGCTGTGTGACACTGGGCAAGTCACTTAACCCCAATTTCCCTATTAAAAAAAAAAAAGGCAATTTTCCTGGACAGTTACCATCTTGTTTGGCTCCAGGGTCAGAAGTATGACTAATGGGTGAAAGATATAATGAGGCACATTTCCATTCAACACAAGACCTTTTTAACAATTCTAACTGTTCCAAAGTGGAGCAGTCTGAGACGGTGAGTTGCCTGTCAATGGAAATATTCAGGCACAGGCTAGATGACCTCTTAGCAGAGATATTTCAGAGCAGAGGTGTCCCACACATGACCTATGGGCTGCATATGGCCCACACCACTCTCAAGCACAGCCTGAACCACAGCAAAATGTAGCTCCTATCTGATTTTAATGTGGTGATATATTAATAATGTGGACAGTTTAATGGCCTTCATTTCCATTTGAGTTTGACCTCACAGTTTCAGAGCATAGGTGAATCAATGCTGTCTAAAAGTGTAACAGGCCACCTCAGGAGGCTGTCACGTCCCCCACCTGAGGCTGACTGATTACCACGTGTGTATGCTCTAGTGGGCATTCCTCTCATGTAGAGACTGGACCAGATGGTTGCCACAGGAGGTACCTTCCAACCATCCAATCCTGTGACTCTGACAACCTAAAGGTGAACTGACTGACTCCAAGGTAAAGATTATGAAAGAGGCAGCTAGGTGGCTCAAGAGATAGAGCACTGGGCCTGGAGTCAGGAAGACCCGAGTTCAAATCTGGCCTCAGATACTTCCTAAGTGTATGACTCTGGGCAAGTCACTTAACCTCTGTTTGCCTTAATCTGCTGGAGAAGAAAATGGCAAACAACTCCAAAATCTTTGCCAAGAAAACCTCATGGACAGTATGGGCATACCATTATGGCCCACAGGGTCATGAAGAGCTAGATAAAGCTGAACGAACGACTGAACAATGATGAAGATTATGATGGAAGGGAGGCCTAAGCAGAAGTGACAGGCTAGACAGGGCTGGGGAAACCTTTGGCTTCAAGGCCACATGTGGCCTTCTAGGTCTTCGGGTGCAGCCTTTTGGTTGAGTCCAAATTTTACAGAACAAATCCTTTTATTAAGGAGATTTGTTCCATGATGTTTGGATTCAAAGGGCTGCACATGAGGGCTACCTGTGGCCTCAAGGCTGCAGGTTCCCCAACCCTGGGCTAGAAGAACCATGGGACAGACATGGAATAGAAGTCCCAGTGAGGGCCAACAATATGTTTAGAGGTAAACACCCAAGTTAGGATAACACTAGGGATGGTACTGAGGGCCCTCACACGAGCTGTGCAAGGCCTGTTACCCACACATAGGCGCATGTGTATATTTGCACATATATATATCAATACCTCACGGACAAGTAATTTTGTTGAGACAAGTAATTCCTGTGTCATGCAGACTGCAACTCTTCTATTGGCTTGTATGCTTTCTGGAAGCTGCTAGGACTAAAAGAATCCACTACTCTTTGTTCAGCTGAGTGACAAATTTAATCCAGTGGTGGTCCTTGGACAACAGGACAACAGTCATTGGGCTCACAGCTGAAGCCTAACTGAATATGACAGAGTTTACAATCCACTGGCACAGCCTTCAAGAATCTAATAACTGTACTATACCACGATGCAAAAATCAGTGTGGGATACTGGAGAACAGTGGATTTTCAGGAAGAAGACTGTTGTTTAAACAGTTATTACCTATATGACCTTGGGCAAACTGGCTTCCCTGAACTTCATAGTATCATATATATTGGAGAGCTAGCTCAACTTCCATGTTTTTTTCATTATTTTAAAACTTTTATTGATCTTTTTTGGTTTTTTGACAACACAGTAATTTCCTGATCTATTCCTCTACCCCTGGCATTAAAACCTTCCTTGTGACAAGGAAAACTAATTAAGCAAAACTGACAGTCTGCATCCTTAGTCTCTGCTATCTCTCCTGACAGGCCATCCTCCTTACACAACAGGGAAAACTGAAGCCTGTCAAATTTCCCTTCCCACATCGGAAAAATGAGGGGTTGGACTAGACAGAGTGAGGACCTAGCATCCCTTTCAGGTCCTGCGTTTTTATGGAAATCTCTAACACTTCCATGATTCTAACATCTCTGAAGAGGATTATTTTTATGCAGAGTCAGCTTCCTGTTTGGTGTGATTGGAGGGAAACTGGAAGTTCTCCTCCAAAAACATCTCCCTCACTAGTCTGAAAGGCCACTATCATAGAATGTAAAGTCACTGTGGCAAGGGCCTGTTCATTTCTAATTGTATTCCTAGGGCCTGACACACAGTCAGTGCTAAGAAATACTGAGTAGAAATGACTTCATTTTTTGGACTGTCCTTGATCTATACTAAAGTGGAGACATCTCTGTGAGGAATAACATATTAAAATTCCATAATGGATCAGAGTCGAAGGAGCTCTAGAATACAAGCTATTCCTCAGGAAAGACTAGTCTGGATGGAAAATTGTGGTATTTTGTAAAATGTCAGGGCATAATTAAACTTCAACAAACATGATTAATCAACTTTGTGTACCATATTTTTAAATGGAAATATAAATACGAAAATGGCAGAATCCTTTGTCCCCAACTTATTTGGGGGATATGCTCTGTGCACAAATAAGCGTGTATTCCACAAGGAAAGATCCAGACAAAGAGGCCTGGTGCTATCAGTGACCATGAGAGGGGAGATAGTGGAAGTGACGGATTTCACAGTTTTGCCTAACTGCAGCCCCTTCTTTCAGGCCTGTTGAGCCTTCCCTTCCCCTTACCTGATCTAGTGTTCTGCCTGATCCACTGTAGAAGGTCTTCCTGTGGTGCATTACTGAATTCTCCTATTATGCTCCATTGACTCTGAAGGTTTAGCCAACCTTGAATTGACATCACTGCTATAAGGGCAAAGACAAAATTCTCAAAACGAACTCTGTCAAAGAACCGACCAAAGAGCTGAAATGAAAGAAATCATTCACTTATAATTCAAGTACAGAGTACTTTGGAGCCAACAACAAATCTATCTTATAAGCCAAGGCAGACCACCCAAGATGTAATATGATACACTATTTCTTATTCTCTTCTTTGAAAACAAATGTAATTTGGGGGTTCATGATGGATTCAAGTTTGGGCTTATTAATCTTCTACTGGAGGACTAAGAGATTAGAGAATATTTAATATTTCTAAACGTGTCTTGGTCCAAAGGACCTAGTGAAATACAGTGGAATATAATTTCGAACGGCTAAGAGTAGAAATATTTTAGAAACTAAATCTTTAATATCCTTTAATAAATGGCTAAACATCCTAGCATAAGCTGGGGGAACCCACAGGTAAGGGACGTCTTGCCTTCTGCGGCCTCCATGTTGTTCCCCAGTGCCAGTCACACCAGTTATCATGCTTATGCAGCAGCATTTTCCCAGTGATCACAACTCTTTGCTATCCCCTACTGCCCAGATAATTAGAAACAGCAAAGAAACCTCTGCTTTGGCACAATTTCCTAGTGATCCAGGCAGAAGCCAATTCCTGGTAGTAGGGCCAGCTGATGAGGATCACTAAGAGCTAGATGTCAAACTGTGGAAGTAAACCTGATTGTTCAGAAAGCTCCTGAACAACAATCTGAATTCCAGAAGGGTGCATTCTGAAGGGGCAACCACAGTTTGTGACGCATCTGCAGCTGGGGAGAAAAAGAACCTGAAACATTTTAGCCTCCTTGAGGTGATTTTATGTGACATGCCTCTGTAATGAAAACATTAATTTTTTAGTAATTCCATATTGGTTTTTGTTTTGGAAAACTCAGCAAAACCCTGATAACTAGTCATATTTGTAGTTACAAAAGTAACAACTACCTTACCTGTTTGGAGCAGACCAAGGAAGCCATAACGCTCATGTGAGGTGTCAAAAATAGCTTCAATCTCATAATGAAAATAGCAAGAATAGCAAATGCAAATAGCTGCAATTCATGAAAAACCAGCTACATTAAAAAAAAACAGAAAAAGGTTACATTTTCATTTTATTATAAAATCTAATAAATCTAATATATAATAAAATATATTTTGAGTTTATTTTTATACATTCAGATGAAGAATTTTTAAATTTACTGAGAGTTTTCATATAAAAAAAGAAGAGAAAGAAAAAGAACGGACTATACAGTCCATTCTCTAGTTATGATACAAAACATATGTGATATAAAAATGACACTAATCTGTCTTCCACAATGCAAGCTCCTTGGGAAGAGAGATGGGTTTGTACCTTGTCTTTGTATCCCCAGGGCCTAGCACAGAGCTTGGCACACAGGAGGTGCTTAATAAATGTTTGTTGACTGGTTGAGTACTTCATTTAGCAAGTATTGATTAAACTGAGCTTTTCTATCTGAAGCATGTAAAACTTATTTTTCTGCTGAGCAAAACAGCATTAATCAGAGCAGAATGGTGATCTATATCCTCATCCCACTCCCAATCCTAAAGATCAAACTAAATTTCAATACAAATCCCATTTTTTTGTATTACAAAGGATAACTGTAAATTCATCAAAGCCATGTGGCTTTCATGAGTATAAAAAAAACCATCTCTGGGTTGCTGTGGTACGGTGAACTCAAGTGAAGGCAAAGGGAAAGAAGGAAAGAGCACACTTTAAAGAGACTGAACTCAGAACTAACCTTCCCACAAGCTTCATTTCCCAATGCCTATGTGGCCACCAAGACATTAAAATCAATATATCAGAAACTGAACTCAGGACAGAATCACAGGACTTAGAGCTAGAGGGGACTTCAGAGATCATCTCATCTGACCACTTTATTTCACAGAGAAAACTAAGACAAGGAGAATTTAAGTGACTTACTTAATGTCCCACAGTAAGTAACAGAGCCATTGAGCCAAATGAAACTCAAGGGCCCCCGGCTCTAAATCCTGTCTCTTCATAGTAGCATATTGCTTACATCTTCCCATAAAAATCTGTACCTTCTCCTAAGTACGTTATTTTTTCTGACAACACCATTAGTCTTCCAATCACTCAGGCTCAAAATCTGATGAGTAATCTCTCACTCATTCCTTTCTGCTATTCCCCAACATCCAATTGCAATTCCCCTCAATTATACTTTGCCATGTCTTTTGTATTCATCACTTGCTTTCAATTCTCACTGCACACACCTTAATTAAGGCTCTCATTAACACTTGCCTTAGCATGACAGCCACCTAACTGGTCTCCTGGCCTCTAGCTTCATTCTAATCCAAGTGATTCAGATTACTTGCCAGAATAATCTTTCTAATGGACAAGTCTGATCAAATTCACAGAATAAAAGAGTTGGGAGGCTGCCTCAGAGGCCACCAGAGTCCAACACATACCTGGACAGAATTCCTTCTACATCATACCCAAATAGTGGTCATGAGGCTAAATAGAACAAATTTAAACCCTTTTTCAGATGAAAGCTATTCAGACAATAGTGTCAGTAATTAGATCTGAATCTAAAAACTAAAAGAGTAACAATTAATGATTAAATGTCAGCTTGGAGATATCCAGGAACTGGAGGGTCCCTCCAAGACAAGGTAAAGGGCCATATACAGATCCAAGACATTCAGGGGCAGAGTCCAAGTTTCCATCGGGGTGAAGAAGGTAGAAGGGTGTCTTCCCTTTGATTTACCTTGGATGTACTCTGTCTTTATGAACCTAGTTATCTTCATGTTCATTGCCTCCATGAGAATTTGAGTTCCTGGAGGGTAGTGACCATTTCTGCCTATCTTTTGTATCACTAGCACATAGCACAGGGCCAGGTACATAGTAAATGCTAAAAACTTGTGGACTGACTGAAAAAATCTGCTTCGGTTGGACTATGGCTTACAAACTGCTTTAAGGCTGGGGTGCCATAGAGCTTACAAAGGACAATGAAAAGCTAAGAAATATTCAGAAAATGACAACCAGAAGGCAAAGGGAGCTTAAGTCTATACAGGCCTTGCAGAAGGAATTAGGATTTTGCCCAAAGAGAAGACTAGGGTACACACGATAGCCATCTCAAAAAATTTCTAGAACAAGAGATTAGTCACTTTTTTGTTTTGCTTCAGAGACTAGAACCAGGAACAACAGGTGAACATTTTTTAGGAGTTTTTTTTTTCTTTTCCTCCCCAATTTTATTAATTTATTGATTTATTAACAATCACTTCCATATGCTTTTGAGTTGAAAATTTTTCTCCCCCTTCCTCCCCCCACCCTCCCCAAGACGGCGCACAATCTGATATAGGTTTTACATTTACATTCCTATTCAACATATTTTCACATTAGTGAAGTTGTAAGTAAAAATTAAAACCAATAGGAAGAACCATCAGAAAGATGAAACAAAACTCAACTGAAGGTAAAAATAAGTGATAGCGATTCAACTTCCATAGTTCTTTCTTTGGATGTGGACAGCATTTTCCATCCCAAGGCCTCTGGAAATGTCTTAGATCCTTGTAATGCTGAGAAGGGTTTAGTTTAACAATATTAGTCATCGCATAAGGTGGCTGTTATTGTGTACAAAGTCCTCTTGGTTCTGCTCACTTCACTCAGCATCAGACCATATAAGTCTTTCCAGGTTTTTCTGAAGTCAGCCTGTTCATCATTTCTTATAGCACAATAGTATTCCATTACATTTTATATACCACAACTTGCTCAGCCATTCCCCAATTGATGGGCATCCTCTCAATTTCCAATTCTTTGCCACCACAAAAAGAGCTGCTATAAATATTTTTGTACTCGTGGGTTCTTTTCCCATTTGTTTGATCTCTTTGGGATATAGCCCTAGAAGTGCTAGTGCTGGGTCAAAGGGTATGCACATTTTTGTAGCCCTTTGGGCATAGTTGCAAATTGTTGTCCAAGATGGCTGGATCATTTCACAACGCCACCAACAATGTATTAGTGTTCCAATTTTCCCACATCTCCAGCATTTATCATTTTCCAGTTTTGTCAGGTTGGCCAATCTGATAGATGTGACATGGTACCTCAGAGTTGTTTTGATTTGCATTTCTCTAATCAATAAATATTTAGAACATTTTTTCATATGACTATAGATGGCTTTAATTTCTTCATCTGAGAACTGTCTGTTCATATCCTTTGACCATTTATCAATTGGGGAATGGCTTGTGTTCTTATAAATTTGTCTTAATTCTCTATATATTTTAGAAATGAGGCCTTTATCAGAGAGACTGGCTGTAAAAATTCTTTCCCAATTTTCTACCTTCCTTCTAATCTTAGTTGCATTGGCTTTGTTTGTGCAAAAACTTTTCAATTTAATGTAATCAAAATGATCCATTTTGCTTTTCGTAATGTTCTCTATCTCCTGTTTGGTCATGAATTCTTCTGTTCTCCATAAATCTGACAGGTACACTATTCCTTGTTCTCCCAGTTTACTTATGGTATCAGCCTTTATACCTAAGTCATGAACCCATTTTGACTTTATTTTGGTATATGGTGTGAGATTGGGGTCTATGCCTAGTTTCTGCCATACTCTTTTCCAGTTTTCCCAGCAGTTTTTTTCAAAGAGTGGTTTCTTATCCCAGAAGCTGGGGTCTTTGGGTTTATCACATAATAGATTACTATAGTCATTGACTACTGTGTCTTGCATATTTAACCTATTCCACCTCCCTATTTCTTAGCCAGTACCAAGCAGTTTTGATGATTGCTGCTTTATAATACGATTTAAGATCTGGAATTGTTAGGCCACCTTCCCCTGCATTTCTTTTCATTAGTTCCTTTGACATTCTGGACCTTTTGTTTTTCCAAATGAATCTTCTTGTTATTTTTTCTAACTCTATAAAATAATTTTTTGGTAGTTTGATTGGTATGGAACTGAATAAGTAAATTAGCTTAGGTAGGACTGTCATTTTTATTATATTAGCTCAGCCTACCCATGAGCAACTGATGTTTTTCCAATTATTTAGATCTGATTTTATTTGTGTGAAAAGTGTTTTGTAATTGTGTTCATAGAGTTGCTGGGTTTATTTCAGTAGGTAGACTCCTAAATATTTTATAATGTCTACCTTAAGTTCAAATGGGATTTCTCTTTCTATCTCTTGCTGTTGGAACAGGCGAACATTGAATGAGGTAAATTTCAGTTTTATGTCAGAAAAACTTCATAACAATTAAGACTATCCCAAAATGGAATGGCCTGCCTTCAGAGGCAGTGTGTTCCTCCTAACTGGCGGTCTTCTAGCAAAACCCAGATGACCATGGATTGGGTATATTGCAATGGGGATTCTCTTACAAGTATGCATTGAAATAGATAGCTGATCAGCTCCCTTCCAACTTTGAAAATTCAGTGATTCTATCTTTAGTGAAGCTACTTATAAAGCCCCCTAAGTCCTTTCTTTTCCAGACTCAATATTCTCATGTCCTATAATGAAGACTCGTATGACATGAACTGAATTCTCTTCACCTTCCTAATTGCGCTCTTCTGGATGTCCTCTAGATTATCAATGTCCTCTCTAAAATGTGGCTTCTGAACTGAATATGGCACTCCAAATGTATTTTGATCAGAGCATAATGAAGCAGGATTATTCACTCCCCAATTCCCTATGCTTCTCTTATGTGGTTGTCTCCCAAGACTTGCCCTTGAAACCTTCTCTTTTCTTTCTCTCTCTTCCCTGACAACCTCATCAGCTTCCATGGATTCAATTATCACACCTGTGCAGATAACTCCAAGGTCCATATGTCCATTCTTAGGCCCTATTCTGATCTCCAGTCTCACATCTCCAACTACCTTTTGGGCATTTTGAGTTGCATATCTGATAGAAAATTTTAAACATGTCCAAAACAAAGCTTGTTATCTTGCCCTCCTAACCTTCCCCTCACCTGAGCGTTTTTATTGCTATTGAGGATACCACCATCTTTCCTAGTCTCCCAGGTCTGCAATCCTAGCATCTTCTTCGACTCCACACACTCACCCCACAAATCCCATCCACTATCAAGTCTAGTCATTTTTACCTTTGCAACATCTCTCATTTGCAC